TTTATTTATATTCGTTTATATCCCAGAATTTTTCGTCCGTTGTTGTACACTTTCATTATGTCACGTATTTTTTTTTTCGTAATAACCATATTAAAATATTAAAATCTAATCAATTATACATTTATGATTATTATTATAAAATTTATTTCTTAAATTTAAGCATCTAATTTGTTCTTCATGTTAAGTTCATGAGGATTTAATTTAATTTAGGAAACTTACCATAAAATCCGAAAGAATGAAGATCATCGTTAAAAGTCCTTTGCAATGACAAGTTTTAGTAAGTGAAATGAACAACTGTTTACTTATTATTAGAATTTACTAATTATTATTTTTTTCTTAAAATTTTATTGTAATTCTCTGGTTATTTAAAAGTTCAGAGTTTGACTATTGAGACCAAGCCAAAAAAAAAAAAAGAAAGAGTATCAAACTTTGTTCTCCCCAACTATTTTCTTATGAGACAGGGGGCATTTATTATTCACATTACAAAATCATTTTGACTTGTTAGTGCATCATCCCATCTTCAATACTATTGCATGAGGGTTTCATCAAAATATTTATGTCATCAAGTTAATACAGTTGGCGAAATCCTAATTATTCTCAAAGGGCCTTACTTTATTTTGACCAGAAGAGCAGGCACTGAGAGTTTAAATGACACGTGGAATTAAATTCACGACTTCCCCCTTAAAAATAAATTATAACAGCATCAGCATAAAGGCTTTAATATTTGCAAGATGAAACTAGTGTGTGGGGCAAGCTAGTGCGTATTGTGAACCCCATTATTGAAGTCATCACACTTACTGAGAAATGATTCGTTCATTAGCTCCATGATCAGAAATCTCTTCATGCCATCGAGATTGGATAGTCATGTTTGATTGTGCTTTAAAAGAAGCAAATGCTTACTTCAATTGACTTGTTCATCCGTTAATTACCATATGCATTAGGGTTCTGATATGGGGATAGTTTGTATTATGACCTGACTTAATTTAATTCTCTGTCCAACAAACTCTCTCTGTCGTCGAGGTTGCCAAGAACAGGTCAATTTTTTACGGCCTTGGTTTGTACGAATTAATAAACACGGGCAAACAAATTGAGAGTGGCTAGTCTTTCTAAACAGCTCTCACGTTTGAGTATTAATGATCATTTCGCAATATATTATAGTGGCAGCTAAAGATCAGCTCCTTGTTAATTATATCTAACTACCATTCCTATAGCTAAGGCCCACATCTCACGCGCACACAGACACACAGACACACCACACACGAGTTGAATAAGTAGCTATCTAGTCCAATTAAAGGACGACACCACTGTTGAAATGATCAAGGGCGGTGTGAGATTGATTTGAGAGAGAGGATACATATAGGGAAGAAAGAAGAGAGGCAAGAGGCGTGGGTGAGGAATAGGGACGGTGCTTAAATAAACAAGCTCTGAACAGTAATAACGTTTGTCTTGTGCTATATTTGTCCATATATGCTGTATGCTATACTCCAAGCCGTCTAATCTGACGTTATCCTATTATTTCGCACAAATGACAGCTATATAGGATAAGCTTTGATTGGATAACATTCTCTTAAGATTTCTATATGTCTAATTACCACTGGCTGCTCTTCACTATATGCATACATGCATCTAGACGGAGTCATATGTGCATATATACAAAATGAATATGTAGTGAGTCGTGATATTTGAAAATGGAAGCATAATTAAGTGGGCGTGGCGAGGTATGGGGATCTAAACAGAGATGCCAGTTGCGTGTAAGACTTGAAGAATGGAGCCAGATAAATATGATAATTAATGATTTGGAAGAATTGAGGTGTAACTTGAAGAAATCATTGAATCCAATCCCATACGCTCATGCATCTGTACTGGCTTCTGCGACATATGGATCAGATCATCAGAAGATTAGAAGATCCGTCCCTTTCTTATTCAAAGAAGCCCCCATGTTGCCTCCATCCCCTTCTCCCCCACTCTTTCTTTTTCCCCTTAAATTTTTTTAAAAAATACACCTACCCATTCTATGTAACAATAAAATTATTTGATGATATGTTAACTTGATTAAAAACAATACGAATTTTTTTAGCTGAAAGAAATTCATGCAGATCGGGAGGTGACGTGTAAGGCTTATTTTATATAGTATAAATTATATTATAAAATAGGTTTTATATTTAAAACTGAAGAAATATCAATAAGGTAATTTTCTGCACTTCTATTAGTTTTGTTGAAAACATAATAGAAAATGATAATATTCTTTGTGACAAGGCTAAGGTCGATCATCTCAAATAAAACCACCACATACAAGTCGCAGATGGATACGTCAACATCAAATCTAATGCATGTTCAGACTAAGAAGGAACCCTTCTCACTGGAGAGATCCCTTTGTCTTCATTCTTGCCAATAGACAGTCGCTTGGGGTCATTAGTGTGTAACTCTTTGTGTACTGATAAAAGCAATGTCACATTTGGGAGAGTCTTCATCTGAATATAAGCCCAGGTGTTCTCACCGTACTAGAGTTCCCTGCTTCTTTCTTTACATTCCATATAATCTATTCCCATAAATTAAAGATATTTAAGTTGAAACTTTTTGATTAATTTTTGCCAAATATATCGAGTTTTAGTGCAAGATGCAGAGAAAAATAAAAAGAATTGCAGAGGCGAAACCCCTTGGCCAATATATATTACTCACGCTTTCATTTTTGGTATAGTTAACTTGGAGACAACTTAACCTGATTTCCAAAAAATTGAAATAATAGAATTAAGATAGGATTTATTGTGCCCTACAGAGAAAGTGGGAAACATGAGATATCATTGATATGATACGTAATTTTTACCACCGATGCATCCGCATTTACTCCAAAAGCAGCTCCTCATTTCTTGGGATCCAATCCTCACATGGTGTGTTGTCAGAAGATTACATCTCCAGCTTATGCCAAATAACAAAGAGCTATTATATTATATCCGTTTTACTACCCAATAAATAGAGTTGTTGTAATCCCATTAAATTTATTTACCTACTTCTCTATAATTTACCCTTATCTCTCGCTGCCACACCTCAACACCTTTTGTGATCTTTCATTTATTATATAATCAATACCTGTATTCATATTTTTTCCTACTATAATAATTTGACTACGTTGTTATATTTAACGTTTTTTTTTTTACTTTAATGCAAGTTTAAGGGCATAATTTATAATATTGTTTATTCACTCATTCCAGTTCTAAGCGAAAATAAATGTTTAATTTCCCACTTTAACTACGGATGAAAATTATCCATGTATGTATGTTCTACATAGTTGTTTTTCAATTTTTGTTCTGACAAAAGCAATGTTGCATCTCTGAAAACATTACACTGAAACAGAAATGCAGGAGAACATTGATCCTGGTCCGATCCGCTGAGTAATATTAATATATGTCGTTGAAAGTTGCCCACTAATAAATTCGAATCAATGTTGTGTGTCAGAGCGAGGTGATGGATGGTGTTAATAGAAATGAATATTGATTGTTAAATCAACCATGCACCATAAAAATCAATAAAACTTACACTAAATCAATTAATCAACCATGCATCATAAAAATCAATAAAATTTACACTAAATCAATTAGGTAGTAAAATTAAACCCTAATCCATATGTCGATAAAATTTCACGATACGGTTCAAAAAAAATGAAACAGGTTAAAGGGCACACAGTGGCAGTGCTATTTGTCCCTGCCGCTGTCAATCGCTAATAGTTATAGCCTCTATTAATTCTGTTTATCAACCCCTCTACCCACTTGGCTCCAAAAATGAACACAAACTCTCTTATTATGTTTCCGTGATTAAATCATGTTGCCCCTTTTAGTATGATTTAATCAATACATGCTATATAATTTGTACATACACACACATGAATTGCCGACAAAGAAACGCAATTATATCCCAAAATACTACTTCCGGTCTTAATTATAAGACCTAGTTGACTAATTTAAGGAGATTAAAGAAGTAAGTTAAATTAGTTATTTATAATAAATAAGTATTGTCATTCCTAAAATATCCTTGCTAATTAAGTATATTGGCTAGAACTATCATTATTAGAAGGACTATCTTGAAAATATTGCATAAATATGATAGACAAAATGGATTGGGGTCTTATAATTAGGACCAAACTAAAATTCAAACGGAGTCTTATATTAAGGAGCAAATGTAGTATAATATTTTAAGTACGTACCACCTCTCATTCTTAATATAAGAGCTGATTTAACTTTTTAGTTTGGTTCTAAATATAAAACTTCAATCCACTTTGTCTCTTATATTTATATTTTTTTCAAAATAGTACATATTAATTATTTAATTAATTGATAATTTTAACTAATATATAATTAGTAAGAATATTTTAAAAAAGATGACACTTAATTATTATAAATAACTAACTCAACAAGTTTTTTTACTCAAATTAGTCAAAAGGAGCGGAGGCAGTATAATAAATGTTTATCTTCTTCTCAACTCTATATATACTTGGGCAGAGCAAAACCTAGTCTTCACTTCACCATTAGGGTTTCCCTCTCTTTCTTTCTCTCTCTATCCTGGCCAGCTAGAGTTTAACTTCACAAATGGCACCACCATCAATCCCATCTCCATCACCGTCCTCAAGATTCAAGTACGTGAAACATGCGTATTATTTCATACTCTCCAACAAAATGAATATCTTGTTTGCTTCCTGCGTAGCCTTCCTGGCCGGAGCTCCCGCTTGTCTTCATGTTCCCCACTCAAACCTTCCTCCATTGTTGCTCTTACCTTCGTGCTTAGCCTTACTGTTCCTAGCGCGCTACTTCTTCATGAACAGACCCACACAAGTATACCTAGTCGACTTCGCATGCTTCAAACCAGCACTCACTTGTCTTTGTAACAAGGAGATGCTTCTGGACAGGGCTGAACGTGTGGGTTTCTTGTCGGAAGAGAGCTTGAAGCTCGTGAGGAAGATAGTGGACAGGTCTGGTTTGGGACCAAACACGTATGTCCCTGAGGCGTTGTTGGAGGTTCCTCCAAATCTGGCTCTGGTGGAGGCGAGGAAGGAGACAGAGACAGTGTTTTTCGGAGCAGTCGATGAACTTTTGGAGAAGACAGGAGTAGATGCGAGGGACATCGATATTCTTGTTGTGAACTGTAGTTTGTTTAATCCCACACCATCTCTAGCTGACATGGTTGTGAATCGTTATAAGCTGAGAGGAAATGTGTTGTGCTACAATCTCAGTGGCATGGGGTGCAGTGCTGGTGTTCTTGCTGCTGACCTCGCCAATCACCTCCTTAAGGTTCACTCACTCACTCTCTCTCAATGCTAGCTAGCCATGGCTGCTTTCATTATTTGAAGTATATTTCTTTTTATGCAGGGCATCGTCAGTTATATATGTTAAGATAGATCTTTCAGTGAATATTCTCCTCAAATATACATGTTCATTTAGCCACGAGATATATAAATATATATATATATTCTTGTTAATATCTTGCACCGGCATGGAACACATTTTTTTTTGTTGGTATAATGGAACATACATATTTATGCAAGCAAGAAATATGTCCTAAAAACAGTAAAGAGAAAGCTGCAAGAATAACGTACTTGTAGGACGGTGCTATTTTGCAAGCAATTTTTGTCGTACGAGGTGGTGGGGTGGATATTATGTAATAATTCATGGATAACACTGACATATGATTAACGCGATGTTTGGTAATGAACAGGCTCATCCAAACTCTTACGCGTTGGTACTGAGCACGGAGAACGGAATATCAAGCATGTACTGGGGCAACAACCCCTCTATGCTCCTCGTAAACTGCCTCTTCCGCATGGGTGGCTCCGCCGCCCTCCTCTCCTCCCACCCCTCCGACGCCCGCCGTTCTAAGTATCGCCTTGTCCACACCCTCCGCACCCACGTCGGCGCCGACGACAACAGCTACAACTGCGTCATGCAGCAAGAAGACGACGAAAATAAGGTCGGCGTTGCGCTTTCCAAAGAACTCATGAACGTCGCCAGAGACGCCCTCAAAGTCCACATCACAGCCCTCGGACCCCTCGTCTTACCCATCTCCGAAAAACTCAAGTTTCTGGTTAATCTGATTCAGAGGAAGGTGTTGAAGAACAAGATCGAAGGGTATATGCCAGATTTTAGACTGGCTTTTGAGCATTTCTGTATTCACACGGGAGGGAGGGCAGTGTTGGACAGAATGCAGAAGAGTTTGAATCTGGATGATTGGTACATGGAGCCCTCGAGAATGGCGTTGTATAGGTTTGGGAACACGTCTTCGAGCTCTGTGTGGTATGAACTGGCTTATTGTGAGGCTAAAGGGAGGGTGAAGAAAGGTGACAGAGTGTGGCAAATGGCGTTTGGATCTGGGTTTAAGTGCAACACTGCTGTGTGGGTGGCTCTGAAAACCATTGATCCTGCGTCTAACAAGAGCCCATGGAGGGATGAGATTCATCACTTTCCTGTTAAAGTAACCTCCTAATCAGAGAGACCCAGAACGAACAATAATGCGGATCGTCGATATATACAGTTATGTGTCTATCTTTGAAAGATTGAGATTATTCAAATCTGAAAAGGGAAGAAAATTAATGACGGACTGGTGGTGTAGACAGTTATAGTGATGGATGTGGGAATGAATTATTATGATATTATTGAAGTAGTTAATACTATTATGACTATCTAAGACGGTTGGTGTCAAAATTTTAGCTCCATGAATGTGATGTCAGGGTTTAGATCTGGAGTTTGCCTATCTAAGGTCAACTCTCTCTGTTGTACTTCTCAGCTTTATCGAGCTTATAATATTAAATCATGTAGTGTGTCAGTCTTGTATATTTTGTCTCTTTAATCTCTGGTCCGTACGCTCTCTCCTCTGGAAGCGGCTTGTCTCTATCCCCTGCCTCAACACTGACACGCTTTTATTCATATCTTTTAATTTTCTTTATTTTTTTTAAAATATCTGTGTCGCTTTTTCACTCTCTCTTTAGATCTTTTTGTGGCTTGGATGTCATAAAACTTTTAGTAAACTGGGATTAAAATTGAAAGAACCATTGGAAAGTTGATGATTTGATGCTGATCTTGTACGTGCTGTATATCTTGTGTTGGCCAAGTTTAACAGGTGAAAGACAGACAGTCGATTACAAGAATATATGGCTCCGGTTCTCTCCTAGGGTTTCCTTGTGAGAGTTTGTCTCTCTCCTTCGTGAGAGTTTAGTTTCCGGCGCTTTCTCCGGCCATCGCTTGGGAAGGATGTTCGGCTGTGTGTGTGTGAGTGCTGGTGTGCATCGTCTCTCTCCCTATTCGCTAGATCTGTTTGCAGATGAGAAGGCTCTGGAGATGTTGAAGAAAGGAAGGAAAACAGAATGTACTAAGGTGATAGTGAAGAGATCGAGGATCGGCAATGAGCATCTTGGTTGCGAGTTAGAAAATTCGAAGTACGATATGCAGAACCATAGTAGCATTCAGGGAGGTAAAGATCGCTCTCTTGCAGAAACCGCAGAACAAATAGCAAAAATTTTGAGGATGCATAGTTTAATGGTTGAGATGAAGAACTCAAAGGACAACAAATATAATCAGAATTCAAGAGAACGATTGTGGCCGATCGTCGAAGTTTTTTTGATGATTTGTTTGTATCATTCTGGAGGCACTTCTAGATCTCTGTTTAATCAATCATCATTGCTAGTTCTAAGAATGCTTGTTTTCATCTTCAATGCTCGTTTATCTGTCATTGCAAAGGACAACCATCCAGGACAATGGACTTCGGTGGAGGAAAAGAGCTATCAGATGAGGAATGATGCTATGTTTAACCTGTTCTTAGAATCACCATGGTATGATTTCTTGAAGATTATTTCCCCAAAGTTAATTGAGCATCTATACTGGATTTATTGCTTTGATGTGGCTAATAACATGTGGCGTAATAGAGTCTCTGGCTTTGGATTTTATGAATATGGTGAGGAAACAGGGGATGGCTTGGGTTGTGACTCTAGTATTGATGGTGATTTTCTTGATGTTAAAAATGCTGCTGGTTTGATGTTTCGTTGTTATGGTTGGGATGGAAGACTATTTGGAACTTATGCAGTGATTGTTCGAAGGATTAAAGAGGATTTAAGATGGGTTCCACCAAGAGTAGAGCATTGTTCTGCTATCTCATTACTTTTGTTAAAGGATCGGGTCAACAAGATTTATCCTCTAGTTTTTGGAATAAATCTCTCCCTGTGGATAAGGTTGTGTTGTTGTAGTCCTAGTAAAATCCTTATTGAGCTGAAAGTTTTCAATAACTTTCAGTGTTCTTCTTTCCCTCTTGGTATGAGAGGGGCTGTTAAAGCTGCTAATGAAAATGCAGCATTGACACATAGAGGGTTGGGCTCAATGTTTGAGCAAGTCGTACGACAACCACCCTTTCTCGCCGTTGTCAAGGATTATAGGACAGAACTTTGCAGTCTTATCTTTTGGGAGATCTGTGAATTTGCTTTGCAGTATTGGGGTGTGTTAGGTGGCTCTGTTTGTAGTTTTTAGAGTTAAGTTTGATGTATTTCGGTGGCTAGCTACTTCTTTTAGGTTGGTGTTTGTAATAACTTTGTTGTTTGAATGAATGAATTCTTCTTCTAGCCAAAAAAAAAAAAAAAAAAGGGTGAAAGACAGACAGTCCAAAGAGGGGAATGAAGTGACTTTGATATGCTCTTATGACGGTGGCTGTACAAATTGGTGTTTTATTTCCCGGTAAGCAGTGTTATCTCCTACTTTCAGTTTTTAATATAAAAATTAGTTAAATAATTTTAATAAATTAAAAAAATTGTTAGACTATTTATAATAAACATGAATTAAATTTCTTAAAATAATCTTATTAATATATTTCCCGGACGAGTATATTGGTTAGAATTTAATATGTGTAACTATTATAATAATTATTTTTTCATATGATTATTTTAAAAATAAATAAATATACGAGACAAAATAAATTAAAAATTAAATTATCTCTGATATTAAATATAAGAAATGGTTGTTAATTATTTTATCATTCCACCGCCCCCCCCCCCCGGTCTCTCTCCTCTGGTAAGCAAAGTCCACAGACAGAAATAGACTAGGCTTAGCCTAATCCCACAGTCCAAAACTCAGCATTGAAGTGCCTGACATTATTTCGATGTTTGGGTTTGATTTGAAACCCCTTTGGATATTGCATATGGTTGTCCCCTTTGAAATATGCCCGCGGCTCTTGAAAATAGTTTTGAACTTGCATTGGCGGGGTGCGCCAGGCCAAGGCAGTAGTGCAACGCCCAGGCGACGCGCGAGAGCCCCAGCAGCAAGCTACTGTGGTGGGCGCTCCCCCTCAAAAAATTAATTTAATATCATGTGGGCCATTGGCCCACGTATCAGATATTAAACTGATAAGAACAGATACTACACTTGATCTTAGCCAAAAGGCCGAGAAAGGTATGCCTTCTCTCGTCTCTCCAGTTCGCTTTTGTATCTGCCCACCGCTCCATTTGTTTTATTAACTCCTCGGTGTGGGACTTGATTCTATGTATCTTTATAACCTCCGAGGTTCTCTACTTCTCTGTATGCAGGTGGACTCGGTAACATAATAAAGAATAGAAATCAGGATGAGAAAACAAAGGGATTAAAGATCCAAAACTAAACTATTACCAAACACTGCATTTCTTTATTTGACCGGGGAACAAGCAGCGTATGAATATTTACACACACATGTATATACTTTCTACTCCATAACTGACAGTGATGTTGCAGCAATTAATGACAGCAGAAATAGCTTGAGTGCGTACGCCAAAAGTAGAAAAAGCAAAGAAAGAAACACATCATTGGAATCGGAACCATCAGGAATCAAGTTAAGGCCCCGTTCAGAACATTCAAAATCTCCTATAAGTTAATTTCACGTAAGTCGAGACAAAACTCTTCTTACATGTTTGCTCGTATTCCGTAAATCATTATTGAAAAGTAGCTTATAAGCTATTTATAAGTTATTCAAACAGACTCTAGTACGGGTGCCCTGAGTGACATCTAAAATTACCAAACAAGCATGATGCATTTAAACACTTATAAGCATATTTTACACCGATAAAAATAAAACTCTTCACATATTTATTTTATATTTTATAAATTATGATTGAAAAACTGTGTATAAGTCATTTAAAATAAGTTTCATAAAAATTTTATCTTAATAAATACTAAAAGTTCTTTAGAAAATAATTGTATTTTAAATAATAAATCATTTTTACCAGCAATGAAAAATCTTTGACTTACATAAGCCATAAAGGAACACGGCGAGGAGATAGTAGGCAAGAGGTGTTTACATTTCACTGAAGAAACGACATCGTTTACTCAAAGTGCGGTTGATATATAGACATGTTCGAAGGCGGGGCAGTCTCCGAGAAGAGGCCGATGGACTTGTTCGGAGAGATGGATGAGCAAGGATCGGCGATGGCCATGGACGTCGACGACGTTGATTCGCTTGATATTTTCGGCGAGGGGGTCATCGTAACAGATAACAAGCTCGCCGACGCTGACTTTTTCAACAGCTTCGAGGACGATTTCGATGATACTGATATCAACTGACGTATCCCACCTTTTTCCATCTTTTTAACTACTCAGTATGGTGCTTTTGGTTTGTTGGGTTGACTATATTGGAGCCGCACTATTTTTCTCTTCGCGGTGGAGAAGGGAAATGTTGAACCTTTTCTTGAATTTCTATATTTTGTATGATGTGGATTAATATGAATGTATTTTTATGCTAGTCACATACTTTGGTTTGTGTATCTTTCTCTTTTGTGATCGACTACACATGCCTTTTCCCCTTTAAATTCTGATTGATTATGGTCTTCATGAACGAAACCTTGTTATTTGGATTCGGTACAGCAGCCCGTGCAAAAATAAATTTAAATCTAACTAAGAATGCGACTATTTTTCTTATCCTACATCATCCTACTAGGGTTCGTTGAATATATCCTGCTCTAAGGCGAAGGTCGTATAACCGAGACAATATTGTGGCTGGAACTTTAAGATAGACTGGTATTGAGGGAGGCTTGGGAGGTTTTTAAATTTATGTCGGTACTTCGCAACTTTTCTGGTTGGCACTCTGAACTCTTTGAATGGTGTTGTGGTTGTCAATTTTCTTCCGACCAGTATTGCTTCTCTTGCCGTGAGGAGGTGTTTTGTTGCACACTACTGATATTCGCTTCTTTCTTGGGGGAGGAAGGTGAGTGTTGTGAATTAATTAATTAGGCATATAAAGCACACGCAAGATAGTTAGTGAAAAATTAAACCTTTGTCTATTTCAATATTTCATCAATCTTTTATTGGATTTTTGCCAGAAATTGTGTTGTTTATAATCCGGAGATATTCTGAACTTTACCTGTGTTGCATAGGAGGAAAAGTTGGGAACTGAGAGGAAAGAAAACATGGAAGGATTGAAATTTTTTAATGTGTGGATGACAGAACACAAGGGAGAGGAAAGAAAAAGAGAAGGGAATATAAAAAATGTTACAGTGAACAAAAATGATCAATTCGTATAAGAATTAAATTGAAATCTTTTCAATTCAAAGCTATGTGGCAGAAACTCTCTCACATGGATTATTGGCATGAAAGCCAACTAGAAAGCCAGTAGAAGGCTAACTGTACCTCCACGGTTTTTAATACATTCTTATATAATATGTACGTGTGCATGTATGAAGGTAGGAAAGAATGTTTGTACACTTCCATCTTTCATTGCATTATGTATACGTAATGGTAATCACTTCTGGACATTTGGACTATCTGACATATTCAGGGATTTGGTCTGTGTGTTCCGTTCATTCTGATGTTCTTCTCAGTAGCTTGGCTTCTCCGCTAGTTCTAAGCTCTGCAACGCAAGTAAGAGAGCGATTAGAATTATACACGTTTTCAAATAACTGGGATGTAAAGTTTGATGCCAAAATGAGTCATCAATCATGCCACAATAAAAACGACAGCTTATCAAGGGAGTCAAACATATAATATATCCTAAATTGAATTAGTGGTAACTAGATTCAGTCAATGAAAAGCAGATGTCCAAAAAGAAAAAAACACATTATTAGCATCCAATGGAAAGCGTGTGGTGCCTTCTTCATGACTTATTTTTTTTGGGGTAAAAGGAACACAAAATGCATAGACAGAGATCAAACGGTAACACACCAGTAGACTTGGTTAATGCTCTCTGGAATACTGAAATATGGCTTCAGCCCAACCTATTCCTCCTACTGTCTTAACAAGTATACACCGAACTGTGCAACCGGCCTCGAAACAGAAAAACCTTATTGGCTCCGAAATAGTTGTTCATTTGGCTGCGGACTTGATGCAGTTTGGTAATTTGATTTCACACTCTGAATAAAGTTAAAGAGAAGTGTCAGCAAAATCGATACATGACATGATTTTTCCTCTATACAATGGACACAGATAATGAATGACAATAGGAACCAAAAAAAATCCACAAGATTATTAATTTTAACAGACGGTACCTCTAGTAACGTAATGTAATAGAAATCCTCCATATGCTGCATAAGACCGCTCCCATCTCTGATTGAACGGAATATGTTTATTTCAGTTTGTAATAACCTATCAATAAGCTCCTTCTCACCCTTCATCTGCATCCATCAAATTCGTGATTGGTGAGTGTAAACCAAAGGCAAACTCTAAAGTAAAATCATAAAAGAGGGATGAAATATTCGAGATGAATGACAAGATATTATCTTCTGTTTTTTTTTCCGAAAGACATATGTACAAAAGCCTTCCGCGTCTTAACCAATTGGTTTAAGTACGACTGTTGTCCACAAAAATCCAGGTGTATTGCTGATCGAAAATAGAAGTGCAACCTTCATTAACTTTTTCTAATGTGAGAATCAAAATGGAATTAAAGCCGGATTATTATAAAAATTTGCATGGAATTCAAATACAAAGGAAAAGCAAGCTAACAAACGCATACAAATTCAGTCACTAGAACATCCGGTGTGGCTTCCCCAACTATATCTCCTCGATATCCATCGCCAAGAATCTCCAGATTTTCCTGGGTAGCATGCATTTGATCCATCAGCAGATATGAAGCATCAGAAATTCTCAACGTGCTTTATAACTCCACAAGTCCCCTAGTAAGTTTGAAGTGAACAACTAAGCATCTAGGCATGTATTGTCATGTCCTTCTTAGGAATGTAAAATCGCATTACATAGAATTAAGGCCATGCTATGTTATGCAGAGAGCGAGAGAGCAAAAGATTCACCCAACTTTGAGATCAATCCAGAGTTTTATAGTACTCTTTCAACATGATAAAACGAACTAAGCCTGATTTAAGTATCATGCTGAGATCTCATCGAAGTTGCAAAGGTGTAGAAAAACAAATAAGGTGCTGAACAACAATGCTTCTGTTCAAGATCCCTGCGGTTTTATGTAACCCACAAGCATCTATTTTCAAGAGAATGCTGGCACTAAATGAGATATTAATTCCGAATAAAGGCACACGATTTAAACTAAATAATTCTCAACAAATGAAATACTGAATAACAACCATTTCTGCTAGTGGTCAAATCTAAAAAATCAACGGCATATCATAGCAACATAACAATATACTTACAGCCACTGCATTACAGTAATCACTAACCATGGCACTTCTAAAATCTCCTGCAGCAAGATATACAGGTTGAGCCACATGGCAATAACCCATCAACCGTGGTACTGTAGGTATTATATCTCTGTGGTTTACAACTCTCCAGCTATCTTTAACTTTCTGCAAATGTGGTGGTCAGGCTTTTACGGCTTTTGGAAATTCAAACAAAACAACAAAGACATGGCTGATTCTTCCCAAGTGAAAAGCTTAGGGCATACAGAAATTTCATTTTCAGTGAACTCTTGGTGAAGGAAAAACAGATTAGGGGAGCATGGCTTGAACTGTCAATTATTCTCACAAGATGATAACTTATGTCTTTGCATGTCATTGAAACCATTAAACAGAAGTCAGTCAAGTATTTCACACTCTGTTCGTGGCACTCAAGGCGCTCATTTCTCAAGAAGACAAAGCCAATGAGACAGGAGTGGAGCATCCTGTGGCTGTCCTCCAATCACAACCAAAAACAGTTTCAACACAAGGTTATGAATATGCTCAAAATATGCAGTATTAGATTTTCCCCAGCTATTAACATCTACAGCTGCCACAGCCCAGTGAAAGAAATTCAGCTCAGCACTCTATTCATAGCAATGAAAACATTGGTTTATGAACATCGATCCAGTAACTATAATCTTTTCTTACCTCATTGTAAACCTCTGCAAATCTTCTGTTGCCAACCCTGGGAGAGCCGAAGTTATACATTGTCACATAAATTGCTCCCTTCCTGGAAAGCAGTACACATAAAAGAGTAAGTACATACTCGCTATCAAAAATTTTAGATGGTCAGGCATATATAAAGTGAAATTTTTTT